AGAATTCCGAAACCTGTGCGGGTCCAATATTCGAAATTCCTTTTCTGAATAGCACAGTTTAACCAATCAACAAAACATTTTCTGTCATATTTATTTTTGGCGGAAGAAATTGTAATAAAATAATAATATTAAAGGCAGTTTGTTTTAAACATACTGCCTTTATTGCCAATAAAATCAGAAAAATTGTTTAGCGTCGTTTTCTGGTGTCGTCGGAGACCATAATTACTTGTTATTAAAAGTATTGTAATTTTTGGTGACAATAACTGTTAAGTCTTGCCGCAGGTGAACTCGAAAAAACTGCTGACAGGTGCTGTCATACAATTTTTCCATCTAGAAATCATTTGTAATTCAAAATTGCGCGTTTGTGCTTGGTAGAAATCAAGACGAGGGAAATAGTAACGAAAAAATATTCTTAAATAGCGGCACCGTACCATTTTTATCGAAATGCGATTTTTTCAAAACGGTGCGTAGCATAACTCGAACAATTGTCTATTTGTTTAATAAATGACTGCAGTCGGGATAATTTCCAAATTACTGGAAACCAAGCCGTTTTGTCAATCAACAGTATGGTTTTAGTAAGGGTAAGTCAAGTTGGACCAACTTGATGTTATACACTAACTATTTGTGCAATTCAATAGAGCGAGGTCAGCAGGTGGATTCTTCTGAAGCGTTCGTTAGGGTTAACCGTTCGATACTGTTTTCCAAACTTTACAACTATGGGATGACAGGGTCAGCTCTTGAATTAGATGAGTATACCCAATTTCACGAGTATCTATCATGCTTTGACGTCTACTGAGGTGAACAGCTGATCAGCAAGTGACATTTTTGTGTTAGTCTACAACGTTGTCAATAATGAATCGAGTGTAAATATAGTGAAACCTGTTTATAGCGTTTTGTTTTTTTTATGCAAATGTATTTTTCTGTAGCGTACAAAAAATCAAAACTAAATTCGGCTCTGTCTGCCTAACATTGACGGATCCGTCAGAATTATGTGTCCTGGGCCGATATTGGGAATTTTTGATATAGTTATCACTAGATAATCAGCTGTCATGGTACCGTGATAGATACTCGAGAAAAAGGGTATAGTTACTTATCTGATACATCTCAGATGGTAAGATATGGTGGATGTATATCTCGTAGTATCCGTGTTACTTCTGGAATCCCGCAGGGTTCCCATTGAGGTCCGTTGTTATTTGATGTATTTATTAATTATTTTGTGAGTTTAGTGAGTAGTGAAATTCTTTTATTTGCTGATGATGTTATAATTTTTAGAGTTATTGGAAACACACTTGACAAAAAATCACTGCGTACAGTGGTGTTATCCGTTTTGCTTCTAAGGGCGGCCGCACACGTTCAAGACTCCGATTCGTAATAGCTCAGGAATATTAAGCTTTTTCCGTCACAAAAATCTTATAAGTGATGATAATTTGTTCAGATAATAAAATGTTTCTTAAGAGCATTGTAGCGGTAAGATGAAACGCCGACGCCAGCGCTTCAAGTGGTGGCAGCGGCAGCGCACAGAACAGCATGTAGTGAAGCACGGTGGCGCATCTAAGCGTAAATCACCGCAGTTTGTTCTAGTCAACATGAATAATCGCTCGACGCTACAGCTGCCGCCGCCGGACGCTGCCGCGCGACGCTCATGCCGCTCCACGCTTCTCTTTTATTGTAGCAATAATATACGAGTACAATGATGAATGATCCTAACCTGCCAACGTGCACAGTCTTGCCGCTAGGTAGGGCCTCTTCCGTCCTCGGTAGGGCCTCTTCCGTCTTCCTATTTTTTATATGCTCGTACGAGTGCTACCTGACCAGAAAATTCTTCAATTTTGATGGGAAAGTCTTGTGAGTACAAAGACGTATTGTAACAAGGCCTGATAACAGACGCGTGACGGCATTACGAGTAGGCTGGCCAGCACGGGTATCACGTAACTTGAAAAGTGACATTATGTAGGTTTCTCTACAAGATATTAACTTAGCACTTAGTTGTAGGTGTTGCCTAAACGTCATGAGGCTTGTTATTAATCTTTGGCTCAAATAGAGATTCAAAGCTAGAAATTAGTTGCGCATCCACTTTTTCTTATCCATTCTGGAAATTACATATACAAATTTGCTGATTTTCAAAAACGAGAGAGTTAAGAAATACTTATATTAACTGTACACTGTCGAATTACAGTAATTACACACAACAACATAACCTCTCTTCAGAAAGCACAACATAAAAATAACCCGTCGTTCACAGCCAATAGATATACTTCATTGGCCGCATATTGAGTAATGATTTTACACACAGCAAATATCACTAATTTTATATACATGCAGACCAATACACAGAATCATCCAGATGCGATCTTGCTATTCAACCTACTTTCTTCTCAGAGATAAAAGCTACAGACAAGAACCATTTGGCCTCACAAAACATATGCAACCAATGATGCGTTTAGTTTAGTTAAATGATTCCTCCTTAGATGGACGTTCACAACGATCCTAGTGAGCAAACGTGGAATGACTGTTTGCGCCCTAAGAACTACCTAGTTTGCAAGATGACATCTTATAGGTTTGTTTGACTTTTTATAGGTTTTTTACATGATAGCCATACTGGCCAGCAGTACGGCGTGTCTTACATCAGCGCTAGTGAAGAATATATGTTCATTGCAGCATATTTAACATATCTACCTAATATAAATGACGGATAATTCAAAATGTAGTGCTCGTTGAACAGTTGTTTTCAGCAAGAACCAATAAGGAGGCCTGGAGTAACCTCTTGTCAGGAAAGGAGTAAGAAAAATGAGGAGGAAAGAATATAGGTTAAATGATAAGAAAAACAGATGAAATCAAAACAAAATAAAAAGCAGAAAAAACATTATAAAGAATAACGAAATTTGATAAAACTCTTGGTACAAACAAATAACAGCACAAAATGGTAACATAAATAACAGAAATTAGAAAACAGAAAACAAGAATCAAGAATAACAAAAATTAGAATAACGAAAATTAAAGTACTCAGTTCTGAATATGTACAAATAAACATTTATTTATTAAAAGCTATATAAAAGTTGCTGCCTCATGAATGTCATCAACTTACGTTGCTTTGCTTTATTCGTACTGTCATTCCTTTAGGCACAATCATTTTTCAAAAATATATTGATTGTGCAAATAACAGCAAGTTTTGTAACTTAATCTGGCGAATGGACTGTGCAACACAAACATGAAGTGTCTCGGCTTCTTCTGTTTGGTATCTCATCTGAAAGGTATTTTGGGCAATTTGCAAAGATTCTTGGAATTGCAACTACCATTAACTTTGGATACTTAAGGGATTCAGTAATAGTCCTACCTTTTGCGACCGTTTTCATTAACCGGGAACGAAAATACGTGTACCTTGTGCGTGATTTTCGGCACAATTGGTAACGCAACACTTGTAAGGAATTTTGAAAACAGAGGGAAACAATCGCGAGACAAATATGAGTTTGTAACAACAATTCAAAGTTTACAAAGCAAAGAAACATACCTGATAGTAGCTCAGAATTTGAGGTTAGCCGGCTGCTAGCCACCTGTTGGACGTTAGAGGAATTTAGGTATCAGATTGCGGTGTTGCCACGTATTCCATTTTTGCATGAAATGTTATATTTCACAGGTGGCAGATGCAACGTAATATCGAAATTGTACTCTTGATATACTAAGGCAATTAGTAAAGATTTCGATAATGCTATATCAAATCTATACAGGGTGGCCCATCCATGTGTGGACGGAATATTACTCATAAACAAATACATCTTGGGAAAATCTATTTATGGCATGTTATACATGACATTTGAGAGCACATTTCTAAAATATTGATAATTATACAGGGTGTCCCAATTTTTACCTACATATCAAAGTTGTGATTTTTAAAAGGAATGCCTCAAAGTTTATTGCATATTTGGATAAACCAATTCAAAAGAAGATTGACTTAACATACTACAGGGTGTTAGTAATTAGCTACTGAGATGTAAGGTGTTTTTTCTAGAACCATGAAATGAACGACAGCTAATTCTAGTTGATATCTTGTAGGAAAGCCTACACGTCATAAAGAACCGATATAATGTCACTTTTCAAGTTACGTAATACCCTTGCCGGCCAGGTGAATGTGAAAATAGTAAAAATGCAATATTAGGGAGGAGTGTTCTCAAATGTCGCATTCGTGATTTGTCGCAGGAAAATTTCGAACGCTTCAGCAAACTTTCGTTTCGACCTCGGTGTCGCGTACGACCTATTATCGCGTGTGCGCTCTAGTTTTATTTTTTTAATTATTGTGGTCGCTTATATGTCAAGTTGTGGATGCTAGGAAGAGGTGGTGAATCGCGAAGAAAATTGTAAGTATTTTTACTCAAACTCCTACTTCATCATCTTTCATTTTGTCGAAATTTAAAAAACGCGTAATTCATTGTCGCATGATCCTAGCTTCTCGAGTTTTGTCAAATGAGAAATGTCAATTGCGATATCAGGTAGGCGCATCACGAGTTCCATGCGACACTTCAGCTATCTAGCATACGGATTGACTATTCAAAATTCGAAAAGACAAGCTGAACTTTTAGTCATCTTTTTATGTAATCGAAAAAATGACACCTTTTCTGTCAATTTCAACGACTAGCACATCCGCTACTTAAGTAGATTAATAAGCTCAGAATCAAAAATTATACGGCCTTCACTCCAACTTAATTTATCCAAACTTTTATTTTTATTTAACCTTGATTTACCTTGTTTTTAGGGCATTTTCGTATAAAGTTTACTGAAAAGATGTTTTGCGTTGCACTTTTTTCTGCTCTTTGGAATATGCTGAATTTCATTTCGACATCTAACAATTCATTTTCTATGTATGTAGCTCCTGAACCTTACTTAATTTTTTTTTTCAGTAAACAAGTCGTTTATGATTTTGACCTATGAGCTCGGCAACTGGGAAAATCAAAATTATAGACCTAGATTAGTGAAGGTAGAAATTTCAAACGGGGGTAAGAAATGGGGAGATTTATGAAAAGAAGCGAACGTTTTTCGTGATATTTTTTATTGTGACTAGATGGTTGAAGATTTTCAAACAGTTACAAACGATATGCAGAGTATAATTGAATTACAATAGGTACAATAGTTTTTTGTATCACTAAACGTTCTATTTCATATATCTTACATAAATAATCGATCAACAGTTTTTCTCCCATTCGATCATCATCGTCGTGGTAAATTAAACTTACATTGCACATTATAGCCTTTGTACTAGAAATCAATAAGGGGGTCAAAATACGTCTCAACAACCAAACTATAATTTTAATTTTTTTTCTTTAATTTAACGCATATTTCCGTGTAGGTAACCATGTTGAAGATTTATTTAGTTACTTGATTAATTATGTTCTTTTGCATATATTGGGTTTGAAATCGGCTGTATTTAGTACCCTCTTATTGTAAATCTTCCACAGCATCAAATTGACATTAAACTAAAAGAAAATCTTTGGAAGAAACAATATTTGGCACGATTGACCGTAGCTCTTTGTACTCTAAAGTCGAAGATAATGCACGATTCTACACATTATCTCAAACCTATTTGGTATTTGTGAGTAACAAATGGCAGTATGACATCATAGCACATTTCAAAATGTCGAACAGCTTTATTTATCTAAAATGCGCTATGTGGTATCAGGTAACCTGGCTTGAATATGTCTCGTAACGTAAATGATATACACTCATTGAATTCAGTAATTTACAAAGTTTGATACGTCGTGTAGTAAATGTACAGTATTTTTGAAAATTGACAGCCTTTAAATGGAATTAAATGTTCATTACGAAACGTGCCAGGATACCATTATCAAACATTCGATATCTTATTGCATCCTGTAATTTATTTCCATTGTATTGGGATTACACTTGTTGAACCTTCTGACGATTTGTTCACTTGTGTAGACTGAATAAAATGATTATGTATTGAAATAATTTAAACAGAAAAAAAGACAGCTGATAAAGTTTATTTACACACATAAAAGCTTTTCATAAAAACTGATATGTGTTATACAGTGATACCGACTGCTTGATATACATTTTTCTACACAATTGAAAATCTACTAACTTCCATCCATTTCCAAAATTCACTTCATACTATCTAACAATATTTTACATTCGACATCCAATCTAAGACTATTTACAATTTATACAAAAGTTTTCGTAATGGTTGAAACGCGAGATGGCGGTTGTTCCGGAAAGTATGATAAGTAGTTTGATATGTTCCATTCGTTCTGTTTAGTTTTATTGCAGAACTGCAATATTCTTACAAAAACTAGAATCAGTACGAAATACGAAAATAGCAATGAAGCAGTGACTGAATCGGACATCCTGTTTGTGGAAACAGAATTTTAGTTACTTGATTTAAAGGATTACGCTTTGGACAACTAAATATTTTCAAGATCATAAAATGGAAAAGTATAGAGAAGACCAAACATATTTCTAATGAAATGGGAAGTTGTGAAGGTATTACTTATGGAAATTTTTTGAATTGAATGCTAAAATCATGAAAGAAAACCATTGCAATACTTTTATTTTAACTAACAATGATATTGATCAATAACACAGCAGTCAAAAGTTACGCAGGAAGGATCGAACACCGTACGCTTGATACACGATTTATCGCCAGTCACGTATTTCCTGTTTATGGCAAGATATTTGAGGTTATGTTCCATTATTATAGCAGCTGCAATAGATTTATCAGGCGATCAGATGATTCCTCGGATTAAGACGTTCTGCTAGATGAAATCCGTAAAAATAAAAACATAAATATTGCATCTTTCCTATAGTAGGCATGATGATGGAAGTGTCTAACTGCGGATCACAGTATAAAAAACATTCACCAACCTATGTGCGGTGGCTTCAATCCTTCAAGTGAGCAGAGTGTCCCAGGACACAGAAGACATTTAACAAGACGTCAGCTTGCTACCATATGACGTCGATTCTGACAGATAACACGGGAAGTGACCTCATTTTGGCAATATAGTAACGTCATTGGTGTTCCGAACAACACCTTATGTGTCGTCATCCTGGTCTTCGCGCTTCAGGTGGTGTAGATGTAGGTGGTGTTGGTGGTGTGCCCCGTGGGGCGTATCGCTGTCTCACCCATGCCGTTCTCCCACTCCTATGCCACCGTTACTGCCGCTCATAGCATATTGACAGGCTGACAGCCCCCCTCCACTCATGCCGGCTGAGGAAACGGACACCGGACTTGACCGGACTGGACTCACGCTTGAGTAACTGCAAATAACAAATAATTTTTTTTAATCAGCAGATAAGTTTTCTGACTGAAATTGAAAAACTATCGCGTCCGGTAGGACCAGTTGGTGCCATTTGGGGTTAATTTGTTACGCAGGGAATTTCGTAGTTAAATGTGTTAAGTAATATTTTGAACAGATCCAAGGAGAATGATATCCACCCTAGAAGCCTCCGTATGAACAGCAAGTGGCTTATGGATAAACATGCTAGCGCGAGCTAGAGTTTGCTGACACAACCCTAACTGCAAAGCAGATAATCTACATGAGTATTAAAGAAACATTCTGATCAATCCTTGCATATCGACTTCTGCAATAACCGCTCCGTGGGTAAATCTAATACATAGATTACAAATTTTATGTTAGCTTTTCGTTTAGGTCCATAAATTTTAAAATGCTTATCTTCCTAATCTCCACAGGATGTTACGACACTTTGGAATCTTTTTAATATCATACTCGAAATCAGCGTCGCAAATTCCTTCCATTTACCGAGTTTTGTTTTCTTTTAACTACAGGGGATGAAAATGGAAATTTGCGAAACTTTTCGTTTAAAGAGGATTTCCAAAAATTCTGTAGTATTTGCAGTATAGGCCAATACCCATTTCTTGAGTAAATTGTACACTTACACTAAGAATCTGATGTAGATCTCTTGTTAAGATCGATGGGGTCTTAAAGCCGCATTTTTTACTGTAAATAAGGCTTCGTGAAACTAGGTATAGGACTTCTGGAGGGCCATAATCGAAATTAGAGTCTAAATTACTCAGGTATGCCAAATTTTATTCACAAAATTCGTATTGGGAGTAAACTCAAGCTTAGAAAGGAGGCCCTAGCATGGACATTGGCGACCTCTCTTAATACTTGACCAGAATTAAGTACCTTTTAGAGTTAATCCCTTTCCTCATATACAGTCCTACTTAGCTCCCCTCCCCAAATAAGAAAGGAATCTCCTAACCCAATAAGCCCTCCAGAATGTTGCTAAGCCATCGGCCGTCGGTCTCGACGATGCGACACTAAGGCCCGTATCGTCAGTCGTCCCTACAATTGTAGGGCGCGTTTATGGCCTCCTTGATTGTCATACTTCTGTCTCTCCTTCAAAAATTTCTAGATTACACTTGCCCCGTGTCAGCGTCAGCGCTCTCCTATTGTGAAGATATGTTTTCTTTTTAAATTGTAGGAAATTTCAGGCTGATAAAACATGATATAACTCAAAAGCAAGCACAATTTGATGCAAATAGATGCTTGTGACATAACCTCAAAATAGAGTTCTGACACGGAGAAGTAGAACACTATGACAATCAAGGAGGCCATAAAGGCGCCCTACAATTGTAGGGACGATACGGGCCTAAGGGAGTTAGCAGCAGCCAAATACGGTTGTTCTGCCTAAAATTAGCTTAGCTACCCATAGAACAAACTCTAATAAAAAAACTATTCGCAATGCTGCTTAGCCTTGATTGAACCCCAAGGAGGTGATTCTGAAAGACATTGGCACCCTCCGAACACGCTGCCTCTTGTCATAATTTAATCAGTATTTTATGAATTGAAATATACTCTCACCCACCTCCCTACAACCCTCCACCCCCCAATTGTTTACATCTGAAAGTGTTTCCAAAAATGAGTATTATCCTCTGAAATGTCAAACAACGAAGTTTGAGAGTTTTTTTTCGTTTTTGGCATTTTTCTCCGGCATCACTGGACCGATTTTTAAAAACTATATCGGCATTTGGTCTCTGGCATAGTAAATAACCTTTTGTGAAAATTCCATCTTAATCCAAGTAGTTCTTTCCAACTTATGGACGGGTCAGGGATTTGTGGACAGACCGCCGGGAATTATTGTCAAGGTTCTTCGTGAGGTACATGTTGTATAACATAATATCTCATTTATTTTTGTTCGTGAACACAATACTTCCTCGCCAGTAGGCGTGGAAAGCAAAAAAGAAACAAAGTAAATACTCACCCAACGAACCCCCCAGAATGTTGCTTAGCCTTCAACCTCAACGACGCGATACTGGACGACATCGCGGCCGCTGAACACGGTTCGCCTGCCGCGGCAGCAGCAGCCGCCCGATGGTGGTACACCGAGTACGGGTTGGTTGCTGCAGGGGTATAGGGGCACGGTTGGCCACCCCCGGTACCACCCGCTCCTGCTGACATCACGCCACCCATAGCGGCAGGGAGCATGCTGCCTACACCGCCGGACATTGAAGCTGCTGCGGTGGTATTGAAGCAATTCACTGGGGATTGGTGGTGCGATGAGGGTACTACCTGGAATGGGATCATAATGTTTAGTCTAGTTATATTAGGCGTCTTTTACTTGTAATATTCTTACAGGAGGCGAGATTTAGATTATACATATATCTATTCTACCATCTAACCCCCTTAACAATACGAGATGTAAAAAAAAAGAATTTGTTGAAAATTAATAGGCACTTGTATACAATAACGACAGAATAAAGTATAATCCAAGTAAATACATAAGGAAAATATGAGGACATTTATGGGTTACAACCGATTTCGCTGCTGATCAAGAAGAACTTCTTTCACTTTTTTCTTGAATTTGGATAATGGATTGGTTTCTTTTAAACTGCGGTCTAAAGAATTATATGATTTGATCGCATTGTAAATGTATATATAATATTAATACGATGCATATTCCCTATACGTATGAATTTGTTTACTAAATATGACGGTGTTTTTGAATAAAGAACCTTATGAGTCAGATTTAGGAGCTGGTACTTATACATTTTATCAATTTTCATCCATTTGATTACACGTTGTATAGTATCCCAACTAGTAAAGTAGTGCTATAAGCTTTTGGTAAAAGAACCGTTCAGCCATAAAAGCTCTCTATTGTTGTTGCCTGAACACCAAAATACTGACTTAATGTTGGGTGGAATGCAAATTTACTTTCTGCAATATATTTGCTCTAAAATGAGGATTTTAAAATATTCTTATAGCATAGTTACACAACACCTTATAGGACAAATTTTTAACTGTTGCATAAACGTTTATACAACTAGTTTATACGGCATATTTGCAGGTTAGTCAAAATGGTTGTGTTGTGGCATCCATGGTAACGTTTATAAAAAAAACCCGAGCCTTGTTGTTTTGCTGTGCAAATTTATTACTTTAGCCAACAAATTGCTCCCAACGGAAGCACTTATACAACTGTTGTTTAGTAACTGTTAAAGGCTGTACATATGGTAAATATGTTGGTATACAACTTCACCATAACCTAACTTTCTGCTGTCATATTTTTGTTAAAATGCCATAACCAATGTTTTAAAACAACGCATGCATATTGGTTAAAAGGGTTTTATCAACTGTTCAAACAGAAGATATAGATCTGGTAAAAATTCTAGGTAAATCATTCGACGGTGTGGGTATTCCATTTCTGACATTTGTCAAATTGTTGTATAATACCTGCAGGCAACACCAAAATATTCTAATAAACTAAAGTCAACATGGACGATGCCATGATTATACACAATCACCCGCCATATTGGGCAAACATTTATTCCTCTATTTGATATTAAATAATTATGTTTCAGTTCGAAATTACAGATATAAAGTGATAAACATTAATGTAATTGTGTCTAAATATAGGATTTGTGAAAGATTTAACGCAGATAAGTTCAGTTTTCCATCTTAGGAATCTAGACATACTTTTGACCATTATCAAAATATGAATCAAATACGAAGCCCGTGGAAATTGCGTAACTATACACTTCGTCTATACAATACATAAGAAATAGTTTGGTTGCAATAAAGTAGAATCACGTAACAGAATAGTTGTATAGTTGACAAAAACTGAATCTTGCACTGACGCAAATGTCCTATAGCGGCTGCAAGAGGCTTACACTTTTGCTTGTATAGCTGTTCTAAGAGGGTTTTGCCAATGTTCTTACAGTATACAATTCTGTGTAAGGAATACTGTATAATCATTCTTGCAACTCTAATAGGAGTGATAATACGCTTCATTAGCAATGACGTCACATATTGGGTTAGGTTATGGCACTGAATCTAAACAAGTATTTTGACATTTCTTCTTCTCGGATCAAGTGGTTAAAGTGGAGTTTTGAAACTGTTTTTGTTGGAAATAAGGTTGCTAGTTTACAAGTCCGTCTATAACTAGGTGATCCGCTGAATATGTAAGTATTTTCCTTATAAAATATGTTATATTTAGATATTGTTACTCACTTAACCTAACTTTTGAAATTTCTTTTAATAGGATATTTTCAAACACTACTTTTTCTCTGATGGTTGTTATTTGTTACAGAAAATGGTGCAGTGCTGGGCACCCGACTGTAAGCACTATAATGTTAGAGAAACATGTAAGATGTTCAGATTTCCTAAAGATCCAAAAACAAGGAATCGCTGGATAAAACTTACAAGGTAACGCCACAAAGACCATACTGGAATTATGTATATTTTTCGGGGACATTGGAAAGTTAGTTGAGGACAACAACATTCATATATGTGTATGTTTCATTTGATTGCAGGAGAACAGTTGAACCAGGTCCTGGTGCTTACTTATGTAGTTGTCATTTTGTGGATGGGAAGAAAGAAAATGGGCCTACATTATTTACATATAATAAAGAGAAGCAATTGAACTTTCCATCACCAGAAAGAAGAACCCGTAAAAAGGCAGCTGATCAATCTATTAATATCAATGTAGATATAAGGTTAGTCCTACAATATCAATTTCATACAAGTATCTGCAAATGCATTGTGTTCACAGATCTGAAAGTGAGTCGCAGCCATCCACCTGAGCACAAATTGATGAACCTCGTGCAGAAAGTTCAATGTCAAATGCATCACTAGATGCTGAAAACTATTATCTGAGGCAAGATCTGGGGCAAGCTACAAAGAACCTTATGCATCTCACAGATAGGTTTTCTTTTGATGTTGTGAGAGGAAATGATAGGCTAATCCTGCTGTATACAGGCTTACCCACAGAGAAAATTTTTTTGTCTTTATACAACCTGTTAAAGGACATTGAAATCAACTATTATTATAAATGGACGGTTAAAAAGATGAGAAAAATAGATCAGTTATTCATGACTCTGATTAAGTTAAGACAAAATTTTCCCCATGATGACTTAGCTGTTCGTTTCAATGTATCTCAGGGTACAGTATCAAATGTTATTACAACATGGATACATTTACTCCATGAAATCCTTTTCAAACAAATGGCAAAAATTCCTTCTAGAAATAAAAACAAACTTTGCTTGCCAAATTGTTTCAGTAGTTTCACAAACTGTAGAATAATCATAGATTGTACTGAAGTATATACAACTGTATGTAGGTCAAGTATGGCTACACAAAAATTAACATATAGCTCATACAAACATAGAAATACTTGCAAAGGGTTAGTTGGTGTAGGTCCAAATGGGACAGTTACTTATATGTCCAGTTTGTATCCTGGGTCAACCTCAGACAAAAAAATTGTCAAGGATTGTGGAGTACTTGATCAGCTTGAATCAGGAGATTTAGTATTGGCAGACAAAGGTTTTTTAATAAAAGATTTAATGCCTTCTGGTGTCAGTATTAACATTCCACCATTTCTTACAACAAGTCAATTTACTGCTGAACAGGTAAGACAAACAGAATGTATTGCACGAGCTAGGATTCATGTTGAACGTGCAATAAGAAGGTTAAAAACATTCAATATCTTAGATTTCATTCCATATGCTTTGTTGCCACATGCAGATATAGTATTCCAAGTTATAGGTGCTTTGACAAACCTACAGTACCCACTTATAAGAGAAGTTGAACAGTTTTATTCTGAAGGTGTCCATAAGCTATAGTTTTGCATCTGGTTTATAGTATATATAATAAGAGAGCACAACATAAATTAGCAATAAATAATATAACTGTCCTGCACATTTTCATTCATATATCAGTAAGACATTACAAGAATCATAGAAATAATTCAATAACCCATAAAAATCTAAACTGCTGCTATATGACTAGTATTCTCATTGACAACTTTTAATGAAATATATCTTTTGTTTTACACTACATGCCAATGACTACAGTTAAAGAGATCCACCAAAACCATCCAGTCTCTACATGAATATGTTGAGCTTTTTGCTCTAAGAAATGTTCAGAGATGTTTTAGAAAGTTTATTTTGGATTTTGTATCCTATACATATTGTTGTATTAAAAAACCACTGTATTTATTCTATGATCACTGTATTTGAAATGTAATTTTTCAACTGCTTTGTACTTTATAATTCATCTTCTCTACTAGCTACCTAAACAAACATCTTTTATGTGCAAACAGAGGGTATAATACTATACAATTTCCTAATTCAAAATTAAAATAATTTGACAGCTGGTAGAGAAGATAATGCCTGTAAAATATGTAAAATAAAACATCAGTTGCATAAATATTGTTTTATTACCCAATCATAATAAAATATTCGCCAGAAATTGTTGACAGTAAAACGATTTTAAAGTATTTATATTATTTTTCCATTCATCATTTCTTGAAATTCTCATAATTATAGTATCTTTTGGAATCCATATTACTAGATAACACATATCTTTATTTGTGATGTATAACTGTCCCTGTACTTGGTGATAATAAATATGATTTTCATTAATGGTCCAGGAAGAGTTATCATAAAAAACAACATAATTTTCATTACTGGTGAGCACCTCTGACAGTTTTTCTGCATTCCTATGTTTGAAAGGACATTTCACTTCAATAATGCAATTTTCACTTATATAGCCATCAGGGCTTGCACCTAAAAAACCACATTCATCAAGGCAGAATCCTGCTGGTTCTACATGTAATCCTGTGATTTCCTGAAATTTTTCTATGGCGCTTTGTTCATTTTCCCTTCCCCACTGAACAGCCCGAACTCCACTCAAATCGTATCCTTCTAATAACCCTTTGAATAATGATTTTGGGTACTTCTTCTTTTGGCAAGCTGATAAAACTGCACCAAACTTGCTGGATGTCAGTCTGTACTTTCTAGCCATTAGCCAATTAGCATTGTTTGACTGACCAATAGTCATCTCTGCAACTTTCTTTATTATGCTCTCACTCACACAACATTTCTGTAAAAAGTAGTCTTCTTTATTGGGAGCTGTTGTATAATCGTTGGAAAAAATTATTGCCTCAATGTCTGGTAACAACATGAGGTCTACTGAAGGCTCTGGCAACAACCACCACGTAAATCCTACAGGTGTAGCATCACCTATTGATTGAATCAATGTTACAATCTCAGATTCAGTTGCACTTCTTTGAGCAGCTTTGAAACCTGAATATTTAGGCTTGTAGATATCACTAATTTTTGTGACCTGTTCAGTTTCTGCTGGCTTCCGTTTACTCCATAAACATGTCTTATCTGTCACGCTTATGTTATGGTGAGCATGGATGCAAAGAGCAGCCATGTGGTGACAAACTGCTAGACCTCTTGGACAGGAGCATTTAGCACAGACAATCCCATCATCAAGATCATATAAAATCTGAAATATGAGCATTCATTAATATAAAAATAAACATTCATATAAATCAATTAGTATTACCTCCACAGCATACATTTTTTTCTTCATACTTGCGGCGACTTCTCCCCTTAATAGTGCTGGAGAAACTTCTGCATCAAATAGCATTTTGTGGACATTCCCACTTTCAAAAGCATTTTCACCACGTTGAAGCTGGGATATATCATCCTTGAAAAATTCTCCTATTGCCGAAAACGAAATAACACGTTTCGAGGACACTGAAAATAAGCTCGTATTAGTTACGGATCGTATATTTTTGAAATTGTGCAATAAGTTATGGAAGAAAGATACAAATTAGCTTTATTATACTATTACAACATAACCTATAATAATTTCGTCGCTAAAATTAGATTGTCATTTATTAATTGTACGTGATATTTTTTCATGCTTTGTTTGAATAATGAACCAAATACTTACTTTCAGAAGTTAATTTCGTTTAAAATGATCAAATCACAGCAGAAAAGATGCAAATAAAATAGCCACTGACTAGCTCTAATGGCGACTTCCTTTGTTTAGATTCAGACACCTGACCTACCTCACTTAGTGACGTCAGACTAATGGAGCGTATTGTTAGTTGGGATCTCTACGGGCCGTATCATCAGCCATTCCTACAATTGTAGGACGCCTTGATGGCCTCCTTGATTCTCATAGTCTTTTCTCTCCTTCAGAAAGGCTGGGGTATTTCTAGTTTTCTACTGTTCCGTGGCAGTGTCACGGCTTTCCTGTTATAAGGCTATGTTTTCTTTTTGAATTGCAGGAGATTTCAGGCTGATAAAACAGACGATATCAATCAAAAGCATGAACAATTTGATGCAAATAGATATTTGTAACATAACCTCAAAATAGAGCGATGACACGGAACAGCAGAAAACTAGAAATACCCCTTCCATTCGGAAGGACTCGAGAAACTACGAAAATCAAGGAGGCCATAAATAGATAATACGGCACTTAGTATTTTTAGATGAAGTGGTCAGATACGCAAATAAGTACAGAAGAGGCATTCGCAGTTAATCTGGAACTGAGAAAAACGCGTACGAAGTTTGGACTTCTGAATATCGTTTACCAAATGACCAGAAAAGATTATTTCACGCTCACAGACTTTGTAATTACTTAAAGATAGTTGAATTTCATGAAAATATAATTTCATCGGATTAAATAAGCAGGTGCGGTAGACTAAAAATAATAACCTTAAAATACTATTTTACTATATTATAGATACTATTTTACTAGCGAACTGTTACTGCGGTAAGGTGGTATCTATAACAGTATTTCTGTTATACTACACGTCAAGTAAATTGACTTTGTACGTCCCACGCAACGCAGTTCGTAAAGGATTATGTTTGACACAAGTTAGCCCTCCGAAGAAAACATTTAGCTACGAACATACATAACAAAAGAATAAATGACCTCCCTCCTCCCCCTGACAGAATTCCTGCAGGTCCACATGATCGTTGCGATGAACAATCCCGCGTAAATGACGATATAGACCTTCACCACAGCGCCCATATCAGTGTCCCCTACTCCCGCAACCACTTACCCCCAATTTTTAAACCCTGCAAATTTTTTTCCAAAATGATCAGGATCGTCGGAAACGTCAAAGGACGGAGGTTGGGCGATTCTTATTTTTTCCGTTTCTCGCATTTTTGTCCGCGGCCACTAGACCAAATTTGAAATAGTAAAAAGCTCTTGTGTCATTAGCATAGTAGTAACATTCTCAAGTTATAGGCGGTTATAATATTAGCGGAAAGGCAGACCAACGGAAATGAGTGACGTAGTTTTTTGTGATATACGCGTCATGTAATATCCAAAACACATTATCTCAGGTTTAAATATTTCCGCGATTGCAATACCTTCCAGCCAGTATGCGTGGGAGGTAAAAATTGGCAACTAAAGGCATTAAAGTTGTATGCTAGGCGAAATAATCGAATCTTCAAAAGCATTGTAACTTACAACTCATATACCTTAATAAAGCATGACATTTGAGCAGACACGGAGAAGAATATGTAGGATTTCAAGTAAAACTATTATTTTTATGGCCTTATCCGCGATTTTGCAATATGTCGTGGCAAGTACCAAAATTTTCACTATCAGAATCAAGCCGGCAACAGCGCGGCCTGCCATCGCCCCATTAGTGATGCAAAGTTTCGTTACTTTTTAGGACTTGTAAGGACTCGTTACTTTCGAACTTTGGACTCGTTAGTTTAGTTACTATTTGGACATTTCGTTTAGAACCTACATTCTATATATTATATCAAATTATTACTTTGGGATTGATCCAATTATTATTTTTTGTCTAATGCCTTGCCTATTAATTTTTTTGATATATGATACGTAGAAGGTACTTATATTTTAAACTCGTCGTTGTGTGACGTCTGGTTCGTCGGCTGTACGCTGTAAATAGTATTTAACAAGTGGCATAACCAGATGGGGACCGTGGAGGAACCACTCTCCTCACTCTTTACTTTAGTTGAGTAGCGTCTCCTGCCCTACTTAACAGTCTGGTAACTCCACTGTAAATGGTGTTCAACAAAATACTTATAATAATAAAACATACCTGAAACTAAGTTCTTTTTGCACCTAGGGATATTTTCGTCTTCCACCCGCCGTTTTGCCCTTTCTCCTTCCAATGAAAGAGTCGGATGTTTAGTTTTCAAATGCTTCCTCAAATTGCTAATGTTTCCATTTTTATGCGAATAAATATTTTTACAAAGATTAGGCTTTGCATTAGCTTCCGATATATTGGTGAAATGCATCCAAATAACACTTCTTTTTTGAGTTTGCGATTCTCCTGAACCGGACGCGGATGATTCCATATTTTTGTACAAATAATAATTATATTATTGCTCGAGCTTGTACGGCAACGTCCAAACCAGTAACAACCCGCCAACCGCTAGCTCTCAAAGTCAAATGAAAAGTGTACAGGTGTACACAAACATTGACAACCTAAAGCTCCGCAGTCCGCAACTCGTTTGATAGAAGAGTATCTAAAGTTGCCTAAGCCTAACGATATTCGCATCATTTCATTTCCACCCAGTTTACATCCAAGAACCAAGTCACTTTCTGCTGGCGCTGGCAGTACTGGCTACATTAGATCCCAGTAACGTTTGTATCTAAAGTAATGTATAGTGTAGTAACTAACAGTAATTAAAAAGTATACATAGAAAAAGACCGTATCGCATTCAAAGTAACGAATTCAAATAAAAAGTAACGAGTCTTTTCAAAAAGTAGGACTCGTTACATTTAGTTACTCATTTGTAACGATTATTTTGTAAGCGTTACTTAATTATTTTACATCACTACGCCCCATTCAACCTGTGACCGTCAAGCGATACAGACGTTTTATTTTGTATCGACGTGACTTCGTACGCTTGAAACATCGTTTTCAAGTAATGATATGAATTCTCGATCACGCTTTGTATCTTTGATGGCATTAGTAAATTGACAGCCAACTTGCATGCTTGGGGAGTGTGGTTGCGGGTGAAACCGCGGGGCATAGAGCTAGCATTACATAAAATTGAAATACTTACCGGCCAGAATGGTTTAGTTCCTAAAGGGCTGGGCACCTTGGTAGCCCAGTTATTGTAGCTGGAATAGGAGTAGAAGGAGTCATCCCCTATCGTAGGCATCAGCCCGTTGAATTGACTACCGAAGCCAGTCTTAAAGTCCGCCGCCGCGTTCATGGCGTTCATCGCGTTACGTTCTCGCTTCCGCCATTTTGCACGACGGTTCTTAAACCACACCTGAAACAAAATAAAGATTATTATCTTAGGTCATTTTGAAAACCTAAGATTCGTGGTAAAAGTTTTAGCCTGATTTGACTGCATGAACTTGAACTAGATCACATCGATATTCTTATTAGGAAAAGACTTTAGTATTTTCAATTTCAAACACCGACTTGGAACAGGATATTGCACGAACTACAGGATGTGCCATACATGCAAGAGTCAAGTGCCTAGGTCCGTTAATCGATGGAAATGTGCAGCTTCCTGAACATTTGAATAACATCACCGACACTTAGCAGTTTATAAATATTTTTAAAAACATACAGACATATTTCCAAAATGGATATGATGGGAAGTGTTAGAATATTAAAATTTGTATTTATTTTATATTAGGAGACTCTCTGCTAGGTAGACCTGCCAGACGTTTAAATGCCCTCTTCATCTTGTGAATCTGTGCAAATACCCTAGAAACACACAAAATAACGAAGTCTGCTATTAACATGGGCATGATAGAGCAACAGCAATTGATCACGTCTCAGAACTGACCTTAAATTCTTCATCTAAGTGCATACCTAGGAATTTTATGCTTTGTGTTTATGGGGGAATTTGCCACCCGTAGCATCAAAATGTCACAGTCTCTCTGTCTGTTATAGAACCTCAGAGCTGCTGTTTTTTCTCCGTCAATGAGTAATCCATTCCAACCTTTGTTCGAAATGAGTATCGAGCTGCATACTCATACATGGTGCATGTGGTTGGCACTGACTTTTTATCTAAGACGTTGCTATACATCTTGGGAAAAAACATTATTATACATTATGATGAGGAAGAGAGATGGAAATATACAAAAGTATGTAGGTGCGTGAAAGACACTCGATTGTAGGATCCTATGTGGCAGCGTCGGAGTGTGACGGACAACGGGGTAAAGTAGAAGAGTGATAAAAGAGAGATGGCAGAACGGGCGCTGGCGCCTGCTGCTTAGACGGATGCGCTCAACAAATGCGATTTGTTTCTCCCATTTGCAGAGTTGCCGATACCAATATGTCATATTTCTAAGAAATCTAAGTCTACCCAAATTTCGGGAAAAATAGCTGCGGATTCCACATAAGAGTATTCCAAAAATGAAAAAAGTTCAAACTATTAAAATTGTATTAATGTTTCATGGTTCAAATCATATTTTTCATGTTTGTATATTGTTGTATAAATGATTTTGTAATCCCTATTCTTGTTGCCAGTAGAGATAAAACAGTATTGAGAGAAATCATTGACCGCTAGATAGGGCTACAACTACCATATGACTATCAAATAGTAGTGATAAACAGGGTTTGTTTATAGCACAGTTGCCTGGTGGGTGAATTTGCGCCATAGGGGCGATTTGACAACTTTGACGGACAACTATAACGGTTACTATGGTGCCCGGTAATCGGGAATCTGGCAATACCTGATGATTCCTAACGTTTATTACGCCAGATTGTTTGCTGACTTGCCCAGTACAACATGACAATCAACGTGACTGAGCACCTGGTAACCCTGGTTTAAGGTGTTATATTTAAAGAGCTTGGGGCAGTTAGGTATTTAGGTCACATTTTTTAATGTATTTCGAGAAATCCGTAATGTTGAGTAAATACTAGATCACGTTTCTTGCTTAGTTTGCTGAAAATTCTACAATAGACGTACATTTTGAGAAACAGAGATTTGGTGACGACAAAATCGTAAAAATATAACGCATTTTCGTAAAATAATTTCTTTGTTGAAAAGACTGTGGCTTGATGACCCATTGAACGAGTATAGTGTCCCGCTCCGCTTTGAATATTCGAAACACTATACTCCAGCAGCATTCAGCTTCAATGTTATCTTTATGAAGTTCTAACGTCTAGGCGATGCTGATTAAAAGCTTGAATGAATCAACATTTAACTCTAAATTCCCCACAATTCGGGAAGCTCTACTCAAATTGGCAACACAACGTATCTGCCTATTATTCTCATTCGTGATACAGGTCTGCGGTTAACGGTAGGAAATATGTACGAATAGCGATGAAAGTAGACGAGCCGATGCGCTGTTGCCAAGAAATGATTTCCCATGTATAACAATTGTTCGTGCGGTTGCTGTACATCGCACATTGCCATGGATGTTGTTGATCGATAGCGATTGTTTGTTACCTGCTGTCACTTTAGTATAAATCCTTCGTTTCTCACACACATAAAAAGTTGCTGAATATTGTTACATACCTAGTTTTATTAATTGAAAATGACGACGAATAAAACAGTAATTCGAAGTTGTTTACTGTATGAGTACAAACTTGGTACAAAAGCTGCAGCTGCGGCGCGAAAAATATGTACCGCATTCGGAGATGATGCCGTTAGTGATCGAAGAGCACAGAAGTGGTTAAAAAAATTTTCTTCCGGAGATCTCAGCTGGAGCGATGAATCGCGCTCAGGGAGACCAAAAGTCATGAACAAAACGAGGATCTTCGACAGGTTGTGGACGCAAATTTCAGGACCACGTCCCAACAACTTGCAGAAATGTGAGTCCTGAAACTATTCGTTTGCATCTTCATCAGCTAGGAAAGACGTGGAAGTTAAGCAAATGGGTCCCACATGAACTGACAAATGATAACAAATTAAGTCGTCTTACCATTTGTTCAGCAAACATTTCACGCAACGCTAATGAACCATTTCTTACTCTGTTATTAACCTGTGACGAAAAACTTGTATTCGAACTCTAAGCGTTCGTATCATTGGTTGTCGCCTAGTGATTCACTGCACCCAAACAAGGTTTTGGTGTGTGTTTGGTGGACAGCAACTGAAACTGTCCATTTTGGAAAGGGATCAAACCATCACTGCTAACTTGTATTGTGAGCAGCTTCAACGAGTACAAGCAGCACTCATCCGGAAACAGCCTTCTTTGATCAAATATTCTTGCAGAATAACGCCAAACCTCATACCGCAAAAGTGACTCGAGAAAAAATTTCCGAACTCGGCTGGGAAACGTTACCGCATCCGCCATATTCTCCCGACATTTCATCCGGTGATTATCATCTTTTTTTGTCTCTTGACAACTGTATGAGGCACCGACAGTCCTCAACTCAAGATGGTCTAATAAATGCAGTCCGCCAATTTGTTTACTCCAAATCCAGGGAGTTCTACAATACCGGCATACAAAAATTGGTTCCACGTTGGCAAAAGGTCTTTGAATGTGATGGTAAAAAAAAATCATATTTTTATTCTAAAAACCGTACGAACTTATTTGGTTACCTGATATTACGAAAAGGAAGGGACCTAATACTGATCCTTGGGCAACACCGATGTTTATGCCCTTACTATCTGAGGAGAGACCATTAATGGCAACAAATCCCCATCCCACAGGACATTCGCCGTTTTAATATAATTAATCAGCTGTTCATAGAACGACTGTGTGGCGGTATTGGTAGACCTGTTCTTCTGAAAACCATGTTGATTATTGAAAACGATGTCTTGTTTTTGAGTATACCCTAAAAATCTATATAACGGGTGATTTTTTAGGAGGTATAGGATTTGATTTAAAAAAAAAACACAAATAATTTGAAAAAACGATTAAATCTTTATTTCAGTCGATAGAACGGTCGATATAATTTAATGTTTAAAGATTATTTCATGTAAATGTTGGCCGCGGCTCCGCTTTAGATGGCCCATGCGCAAGGTCCAATTTTGGCACACTCTCTAAAACATATCGGCCGGTATCTCACGAATAAATGCTTCAATATTGGCTTCCAGTGCGTCAATCGTTGCTGGTTTATCGCTGTAGACATTAGCCTTAACATGGCCCCACGAGAAATAGTCCAACGGCGTTAAATCACACGATCTAGGCGGCCAATTGAAGGGCCCAAAACGTGAGATAAACTGTTCACCGAACTCGCCTCTAATTAGGGCCATTGTTTCGTGTGCGGTGTGGCATGTGGCACCGTCTTGTTGAAACCACATGTCAGCTAAATCCAGCTCTTCCATTTTGGGCAAAAAAAAAGTTTGTTATCATCGCACGGCAGCGCTCGCCATTCACAGTTACGTTCCGGCCATTGTCGTCTTTAAAGAAGTACGGGCCGATGATGCCACCGGCCCATAATCCACACCAAACAGTGATTTTTTCGGGATGCATTGGTAGCTCTTGCAATGCTTCTGGCTGGTCTTCACTCCAGATGCGGCAATTTTGCTTGTTAACGTACCCATTCAACCAGATATGAGCTTCGTCGCTGAACACAATTTTTCGATAAAAATGTGGATCTTCCTCCAACTTTGCCAGCGCCCATTCACCAAATTGGAAACGTTGTGGGAGGTCGTGTGGCTTCAATTCTTGCACCAGCTGTATCTTATAAGGTTTTACACCCAAATCCTGTCGCAAAATTTTCCACGTAGTGGAGTAACAGAGGCCCAATTGCTGCGAACGGCTGCGAATCGACATTTGACGGTCATCACTAACACTGGCGGATACAGCCGCAATATTTTCTTCAGTCCTCACTCTAAGTCTGCGTGTTGGTGGTTTAGTGTCCAATAATGTAAACTGGGTTCGAAATTTAGTCACAAGCTTCCGAATAGCTCCCTCAGTAGGCCGACCAAATTGCCCATAAATTGGAAGCAGTGCTCGACGCACTCTCTTAACCGAGCATGAATTTTGATAGTAAAATTCAATAATTTGCATGCGTTGTTCGTTCGTAAGTCGATTCATGGTTAAATTATAGACCAAACTGAACAAGTTTGACAATGACACAAGACACGGTTCACGTTCATCTGTCAAAAACAGTGTTGCCAAAGAGATACTAGCAAAAAAATCACCCATGAGTAAAATAAGTATTCAAATATTTTAGAGAATCCAGATATCATTACTATCTATCTATTACTGCTTACCGTGTGGATGCCGTCTTTCTTATAAACGGGAACTAGTTTACCTGTCTTCAAGCGTTCAGGAAAAGTTCCATTGCTAAAAGACGATGGACCAGATACGTGATGAAAAACACAAAATTTGTTTAATGAGAAATATGGGAACGTCATCATACCACCCGAAAACTTATTCTTCATTTACCAGTTCAGAACATAGAGAGAATAGAAAATCACGTAAGTTATTTGAAGAGTGTTACGGTCACTATTATCAGAAAAGTTAATACCGAAACAGCTTGAGATATTGAACGGGCATTATAGGAATATTCATTAAAAAATCCAGCTAATTCTTTATCGTCTTCTATGAGTGTATTGCCGTGAGAGATTATAATATTCTGCATCCCTTCTTTGGGCCGGCATTACACTAAAGTTCTTTGACAACAATATTTGATAGAAGAAGTTGGAAAAGAAATGTGGCAGTGTTATAGGCTTTTATAAAAGTTCTTTTATCATGTTTAGCCTCTTCATCCCATATTTGATAAAATATTTTGCATAGTTGGGTCAAGATGGGAGAAAACAGATGGTGTGTGGCGTACTGGAGGCTAGTGTAACTCTCTCCGGTGGCTAGAAATCGCAATGTCACCATGAGCAGCTCCTCAGTGCTGATGGAGTTTCGTAAATATGTCACCCTCATTCATTCTCAAAAAGTTAACATAATTTCTCCGATCTTCCACTGCCAGTTCTTGGACCAAGATATTGTAGATCCTCTCAAGTCACGGCGGGCGATCTACGGTTTTACCACAGTCGCTTCTTTTTCGTGGTTAAAGCCACTACAATGGGTGTCACAGTAAAACTAGCTATGACAGCAACCTGAACGTCGACGTCCCGTGCTGTATTTGCACTACCTACTTAAAATAGTTCTTAAAATCTTTTATGTAGTGCAATAGGCTGTTTGCCAACCATAAAATTTTATGTATAACTTTTGTAAAAGTAATTTATAAAAGATCTTTGTCAAAGAACTTTTACAGTGTAATGTCGGCCTTAGGCTTGTTCAATACTTCATTAATGGTGTCAGTTTTTCGAGTGTTATTCGACGATGAGGTTTTATTCTAATAGTAATGTGCTCTGGTGTCAGTTGTATTGTTGTTGCTCCTTGGCGGATTTTCCACCCTCTCAATGTCCTCTTTCTCCTACCCTCTTATACACCCGCAAAAGACGACGTATTCAAAGAGACCCTTACGCAACTGCCTGGTCTCTGAGCTTTCTCCAAAGTTGTATTGTCGGTGCTCCTTGGCGGATCGCGGATTCTTCCATTTTCCACCCTCTCACTGTCCGCTTTTCCCCTCCCCGCTTGCGCACCCCTGACAGCCCCTTATTTCGCGTATAGCCAACGATCCGTCTAATTGCGGCAACGAAACGGTCGGTCGGTGGCGAGGCAGGGCCGCTGGCAGCGTTGGAATGAAGATCGACGAGCGCGCCCATTGGATACGGCGGCTGGGGGGCCTGGGGGTAAGTGGTCGGAACGCAAGGGGGATACGGCGACGAGCAGATATGATGGCGAAGCGAAAGAAGTCGGTAGTCGACACACGATGTATGTTTGTTTCATATGGTGTCCAGTCGAGTCCTTTAGTGGCCAGTTGCACCGCCTTGCTGTGATCAAGTTTGAGATAGGCCGAACATTAACATCAATTGAAATAAGATAGCACAAAGTGCAGGATCGACCACTGCGAAAGAGAAAACAGCAAGCTTTCTTTCGTTCATTGTCGATCGAGACAAAGCCCACACTATGCTGAGGAGGGGCCAAATAGCACAAAACAGCTGTCCATGGTTTGCCGTTTGTGGTCGAATGAACGGAAGCCATATTACATGTTTTAAATATACACTTAAAACTTGTATGGAACTCAAACATACAGTTAAGCTAAGTCGAAGAATTTCTCTGCTTAGGGTGGATTTTCTAACCTAATATGTCCTATTATCACTGGTGAACAAAGTTAAAATAATTTTTTGTGGCATGGACAAAACAATGTGGTTATTATGTAAAACGTACCCAAAAAGCCGGAAATAGCATTCGATTTTTTCTATCACCCACGGTTTTCTTACAATAAGGGATTTTATTTGCTGCCTATAAAATATAAGGATACCTATGTGTGTAAGATTACTAATAAATACTCGAATAAACATTAATCTCAGAATGTTGTCGATGTTTTACGGCGACATGTGGAGAAGATTGTAATCCTAACGCTAAGAAATCAGACTGGGATTTTAACAGATTTAATTCTCGAACTAAGTCATTAAGTTCGCCCTGTGATCAAATGCGGCGCTGTTGAACATCCTGGCAGGTCAAACGAACGATTGAAAATTTTTACGCTTTCTGTACCATCACTTTCAGAATCGGTGGATTCGACTTTTTCATCCAAAGACCAAGATTCTGGTGGAACTGGGACAGAAAGTTCATCACTATGTTTAACAGGCCGCAAAGCTGATGGTAAATTAAAATACTTAACAGTATGTTTCGATTTTAAATTCATGGAGTGCGAGCGAATGTGTACTGGAAGATGATTGAAAAGGCGACATCCAGCATTATCAGGCGACTTTATAAAGTAGGTGTGTTTGAACTTACGCATATTTCATTTCTGTTTCTCATTCATAAGTATCGTTGAAGCCATTGATGAGGTATTTTTCTCTTTTGCGATGTATATGGGATACTAGTTTGTAAAGGTGTATTACTTTTACAGTAAAGATGTTAATGTTTTTAAACACACCTCGACAAAAGTCATTATAATTAAGATTGAATGTGAGCCGCAGTATTATACTAAGTGACATGTAAATCCGAACACCCAGTTTAAATGGTTTTATTTTAATAAAAGTTGGTGAATGTATTTATCTTACGGTAAATAACAAGTGAAAAAATTTTCAGCCTTATCAGTTGGACATTCCGGTTTTTATACTGCTTTTTTTTAATTCACTAATGCTCTAAAAATGAATATTTCAGCCGCAGTAAAGAATCAATGTTGGCGGATTTTGGTTCTTGACATCCTTTACGATCGGTTACGATGCCTAGAGTACGGAGACCTGTACGATTTCGTCAACTTAGTGAGTTTGATAGGGGCCGTATAGTGGGACTTCGGGAAGCTGGACTTTCTTTTCGGGTAATTGCAGTTAGAGTGCAAAGAAGTGTAGACACTGTGGTTAGGTGTTGTCAGGCATGACTTCGAGAACGCCGTACGCAAAGAGCAAGGGGCACTGGACGCCGCCGTAGAACAACAGACCGTGAAGATCGCCGCCTAAGATTATTGGCCTTAAGGGACCGTTTTTCCACTACCAGGTCCATTGCAAATGAATGGTTTGCAGAACACGGAAGACCTATTGGCATGCGAAGTGTTTACCGACGAATGAGAAGTTTTGGCTTGTTTTCATACCGGCCACACTGGGTTCTCCCTTTAACTCTAGAACACCGACGTAATCGCCTTGAGTGGTGCAGACAACGGTCACTCTGGGATCAGGAATGGAACAGTATTGTCTTTAGTGACGAGTCTCGATTTTGTTTAGGCATGCACGATGGTCGTGCCAGGGTTAGAAAGCGACGTGGTGAAAGGAGGAATCCACAGTTTTTTGTTGAAAGACATGTTCATCACACTGTTGGAGTTATGGTTTGGGGTGCTATAGCTTATGGTTCCAGGTCACCTTTAATCTTCATCAGAGGTAACATGAACGCGCAGCGTTATATCCACGAAGTTATATCTTTTACCCTATCTTGACACCCTGGCAGATCCAACTTTCCAACAAGATAATGCCCGACCACATGTTGCAAGAGTCACAATAGACTTCTTTCAACATAATGATGTCACATTGTTACCATGGCCACCAAGATCTCCCGACTTATCCCCAATTGAGCACGTGTGGGATATGATTATTAAAGGTCAAAGGGCTTTAAAGCAGTGCAATCATTTTGAAATTTACTTATTATGCTTCATTAAGTACTTATACAAAATTTTATTAAAATAAAACCATTTAAACTGGGTGTTCGGATTTATATGTCACTTAGTATATTTTTTGATGTATGGATACTCTTGATGTCTCTGCTGACTGCCCCCATACTACACTTTATATGCAGTAGAAGAATACATTACAGTATTACGATAAAAGTGACTTACAATCAATGTCATTTTTTACTGTGTTCAATATAAAAAAATACAATTACATCATACCGATTGCTTAATGCAATGGGATCCAAGGTGTCCTACTCATTCAGATTGCCGGATCGCTTGTTTTAGTTTGGAGCTGATTGGATCATCTCATTAATCACTAACCTTTCATTTGGATCAGTTAAATACTCCACGTAGCTTGCTAAGGAAACGAGCTTGCAGTTCATTAAAAATAAATTCGAGGAAAGAGCTCTGAGCCGTTAACGGAGGCTCCCGGATTCTGCTCGGATTTCCCGGATCTTCTTGGTCTATTACAGCTAAGAAGAGCAGTGGCGTGTGGACCGTTTTTCACTGTCCTCCATGATTACCAGATTATTTTATTTTTCTTCTCTTACAAAAGTATGTGATGTATAGGTATAGGAGGTAGCTCAGAAAACTAGAATGGTTTTTGTGTAGCACAGGATTTTTTAGATAAGGCAATGCTTTTATAACCTTGTGTAGACAAAAGGGTTCGAAAGATTTTATAGTTTTTCTCGCCCGAAGTACCAGAATTACTGATACTATACTCAATACAATCACTGATCGTTTGGTATGAATTTTTTACGGCCTATGATACTTGTAAGATGCACTAGAGCTGGATATGTTCTGAACGAGTCGTTACAAAAAACGATCCCGCAGAAGGAAGCGAAGGAATCGTTTCCGCATGGGTATCATGTAAAAAATCTATAAAACGTCAAAAAAACCTATAAGATGTCATCTTGCAAACTAGGTAGTTTTTAGGACGCAAACAGTCATCCCACGTTTGCTCACTAGGATCGTTGTGCATCTAAGGAGGAATCACTCAACTAAACTACACGCATTATTGGTTGCATATGTTTTGTGAGGCCAAATGGTCCTTGTTGGATACGAAAAAGTGAATGCGCAACTAATTTCTAGCTATGAATCTCAATTAAGTGTATTTGAGAAAAGAACCCAATGTAATTATCATCAACACATACAACTTACAGCTTAGACCTCCAGTAATGCCGTCAAGCACATTTTCCATCACATCAGAGCCAAAACCTACATATTGTCAAAAAAAAACCTGCATAATGTCAAAAAAATCGGCACAATGTCACTTTTCAAGATACGTGATACACGTACCGATCATCTCGAAGGAATCGACTCCGCTAGTTTCGATTCCGATTCCAATGAATCCCATCCCGATTCTGGTGATTTCATATCCAATTTTTGAAATTGGAAGTTTCACCTGTTGCGGTACCAGCATTTTATCTTGGAAAAAAAAGTTTCGGTATATGGGTTTTTTGTGACAATATATAGGTTTTCCTAGAAGATGTCAACTTGGAACTAGCTAAAGATTATGACGCTTGAGCTATCATGGTTTGGCTCTGTTGCGATGTGATGGCTTCAGAGATGGCATTATCGTAGATCTAAACTGTACGTTGTATATACAGCTGGGAGGAAACGGCAGTGCATATGTGCATAGTGAGGATTTGTGTGGTAATACTCTGTGTTGATGATAATTCCATTGTCTCAAATATACTTACTTGAGATGTATGCAAAGATAAAATTAGTTGCATACCCACTTTTTTTATTCATCCTGGGAATTAAAAATGCAAATTTGCTGACCTTCTAATATGAGGTGAAGTATATTATAACCAACAGGTGCGAAAATATGCCACAGACAGGAATATTTATGAAACGTCAAAAAACTATTACATTTTACATTATTTTCTATTTCCAGTCATTTAAATTTTATAGAAATGTATTTTGCGACGTCAAGTAGAAAATAAAAATCAACGCCTAGATGTGAGGCACTGCGAAAATGTTTTGTATGATGCGTCATTCCTAATTTTGCTGCGGAAGTTTTTGGAAACGCAAAAAACCTTGGAAATTCGTAATTCATAACTTTGAACATAACCTCTCTTTAGAAAAGATAACACAAATAACCCGTTTAGTACTCATATAGCTAAAAGCTAAAAGCTAAGCATATTCAGTAATAATTCTTTCACATAGGAAGTATCACTAATTTTATGCACATGCAGACCAATAGACACAATCATCCAGATGCGATCTCGCTACTCTGCTACTCAACCAATTTTCTTTCTGCCACAACCTTTCAGAGGTATACTCTACAAACTACCTCTGCATTCTGTAACCAACAAAGCATGCTGGGGAACTGACTTGTAGCTGGTCATTGAGAGTATCATTGTGTCATTTCACTATAGATGACGCTTTTGATGGCGCTCAAAGCGAGCCAATTATTTGCACACTAGGAACTATCTAGTCAGCAAGTTGACATTTTGTCGGTTTTTTGACATCTTGTAGGTATTTTTACGAACAAACCCTGCCCGGTGGATATTCAAGTAGGTATCAAAAAATAATTGAGTCTGTGACGGCATTACCTTGTGTGGAGCTATCCAGGATGTGTAGCAAACTTTTAATCTAATTAATATACAGGCACGTGTCCGTCCGTTCTATTAGGCAGCAGGGTGCCTCAGTATTAAAGCCACCCTGTTGCGGACGTCGTTCAGCCCCCTATAACCCTCAGGCAAGATGCAACTCCATGGAGTGTGTTTCTGGATGTTTATTTAGTTGTATATAGAATAAGTTGCGATCCTACCTTTTCCCTAGAATTATGAAGTTTGTTTTGTCAAAAATAGTAATGTTCACGTAAGTTCTCAATCTCTTCATAGTTGTTTCAATAGAGTCGTTTACCTAATGTAATATGCCCATTAGTGTAATTATACGGAAGTGTAGAAAATAGGCGATAGTGCCGGGAAATTGTACCCTCGAAATCCCCGGGATTTCCCGATTACCTGAAAATTCTGTCCCGGTTCTTTCGTCACCTCCGAGACAAATGTAAGTATAGAAAAACTTCTTGAAAATATGAATTTGAATTATGCTTAAAATTCCTATAAGGCACGTAATGGGTCTACTAAACAGTCGCCGTGTACTGCGCGGGTTCGAACCCCGTCCCAATAGAATTTTTACTCTTTGCTATGATTGTCCGTAGGTGATAGACGGTCTTTGTCTGTCGAACGTGGATGTACCACCCGGCGGATTTCTGAGGCCCCTATTTCTCCATGGTACCCATGGCTGTTTAGGTCTTCGTAGTGGTACAACTATGAAAAAATTCTCGATAGCGTTCTATTACATTTTCTCCGGGTGGTCACTACTCATTCAGAATATTGTTTCTCTTAAAATAAACGATATAAGTGAAATGCAATGTCAAACTGAGTAGGCCAAACATTTGATATGGAATTGGAATTAATTTTATAGTAGGTTATTTAATCTTCATTTTAACACGAAAACTAAGTTGGACGTTAAAATCCCGAAAGTAGCTAAAATCCCGGTCCTCCCGGTTCATTTGACATCTAGTCCTGACATTTCTGGTTCTCTGTCTCTTTATCTAGTTGGCGTATTCAGTCAGTTTAGCGAATACGATTGGGACTTGATTTACTTGAAAATTCGGATAACAGTTCATACTGCATTGCTTCCAATTAGGATAAACTACTTTTGAACTTCATCGTTCAATAATATATCCACGACACAAAGTTTATTAAAAAGGCTCTGTTGAAGCGAAATATGACTCGGTATAATCGCAAGATGCATACCGATTGTTGTACAATAAAGGCGTTTATTTTCTAGCATTAAACCAGCTATTACCGGATTGCTCTTTACATTTGATGTGGTAGGTTTAGATATTTTATTTCTCATTTCTTGTTATCGAGTTTTGATTAACAGGTTGAGTTAGTAACTCTGGCTTGACTTCGCATGCTTTTTGGATTAATATGCAGGGTGACCGCAAAGTTGGGGTTGTCCTTTTCAGAAACAACTACCCTTGAAATAACAAAGGTAATGTGTAGTGAAACGAGGGCGACCAAGTAAAAAAAATAAAGGAAAAAGTACTCACTCTCCAGTTGACGAGAAGCGCTAAGTACGTCTCTGTCCGAAATCAAACCGCTCCAACAGAAAATGAAATCAGCTGCTGCGCTACCGAGAAGACGCAGGCGGTGGTGCAGACCACGAACAGAGGTAACAAATATGACGGCGTTGCCGCGTTTTCAGTTTTTAGGTAAACGTACTTTATAGGTATTGTTCGAAGTTATCGCCGTTTGGTTCAAAAACACAGGTGCGTGCACGACGTAGCCAAGTATCGGTGCAGGCTTTGAGAATGGAGTCCCTCCCCCGAATGAAAGCACCAGCTTGTTCAATTCTGAGACGAAGTTCGTCAACCGTATGCACTTCAGTTTTGTACACTAAGCGTTTCATTTCTCCCCAAAGAAAAAAATCACATGGTGTTAAGTCTGGAGATCGCGGAGGCCACGCTACGGGTCCATTACGTCCGATCCACCTATTCGGAAATAATTCATTCAAAAACTCACGCACTTCGCATCTAAAATGGGGCGGTGCACCATCGTGCAGAAACCACATTGATTGTCTTACACTTAATGGCACATCTTCTAACAAGGAAGGCAAAATGTTGCGTAAAAAGTCTAGGTATTGCATCCCGTCCAATCGATTTGGGGGAATAAATGGTCCAATGAGCATACCGTTCACCATGCCAGCCCAAACATTCACCGAAAATGTTGAAAATGTGCCCGACGGACAGCGTGCGGATTTTCTACTGACCAAACATGAGTGTTGTCGTTATTCACCCCATTACGCGCGAACGTAGATTCGTCTGTCACCAATATGCACTTCAAAAAGTCCGGATTATTGTCATGTTGATGCAACAACCACTCACAAAACCGCACTCTTGCTGGAAAATCGTCAGGTTGGAGGGCTTGTACACGTTAGACGTGAAACGGATACAGCCCCTCTTCACGCAGCGTTTGCCACACTTTAGTTGTAGTAGTAAACTGATTGATTTGATAAAGTGATATGTAAAACGAATAACAAAAGTCGACAATGCTGCAAGACCTTGCATCTACTTTAAAGACGTTTTTTCGTTAATTGAACTGTAGCGCACTTGTGACGTGCTGTTGGCCTAATCAGCCTTCAAACAATCTTGTCTTCTCAGCATCAACATCAACGCAGAATAAATCCCTGCCTGCCGTTGTTTAAATTCTGTTCCTCCAGTCATGTTTACAGGCCGTTATATCGGCGTAAACCGTCAGTGTATGGCCGCCATGAAAGCTATCTCGGATTTGCCCGCAAAGCTCGCAAAGCTGCAGAATGGCCGTCATCTCTTCTCCGCCAGATCCACTGCCCACTAGATTTATGCGTTTGGAATGACTCGCCGGCCGCTCAGAAAAGACGATACGGCTAGAGTTGTAGATGGGCTGCCTGTGGCTATCTTGGGGATATTTTGTGATTCTAATGGTGAGGTTATTTGTTTTTTGGATGGAGAGGAAATATGTACATGTATAAACGATGAAAAGAAAATCTCTTATACATCACTAGCCTGAAGTCCGCGTGGAACTAATGTACAGTATAGATCAGTCGTTTTTTATTAGTATGGAGGGGATTGGTTTCGGAGAATGCAATGGACATTTCTTATCCAACACTTTAATGCCACAATAAAATAATATCAAATGTGTAAACAGAATCACAATACATAATGAATACTGACAGCCTGTGAGGCATATCTTAACACATCCTAACCCAAAAACTTCTTATTCACAGTATTAAACTTGAAGTAATAATAATAATATTTATTCACTCAATGTACAAAGATAACAAAAAATATGAGTAAATAAATATAAAATCAAAACAGGCCCAATAGAAGGCATCGCCTGTACATGGACCAATAAATTTAAGTTGAAACTGTAGAATGCAAATGACAAAAAAGGACAAAAATTAGCTACAGTAGATTATGTATTTAGTTTAGTTCGTATTTATGAGTTTATGAATTTCAGTCCTAGATATAGAATGTTGCCACTTTTTTAAATTTCTGTTGAAACAATTTCCGAAACGTAAATCTTTTAAGTCTTTAGGTATAATTTCATAAAATTTAGGCGCTAAATACAGATATGATCGCTGCATTATAGATTTATGCGGTTGAGGAACTACTGTGCCACGAAGTTTGTATCTGGTATAATGATTATGCTTAATT